AGTAATTCACTTTTTCTTCCAAGCAATACCGATTTCTCGAAGATGACTATATCACTGTACAAATGTGCTGGTGACGTTGAATAAACTTCAGCTTATATGTTTATGTGTCCCGTCTTCATATGCCTTCTCAGTCGCTGAACTTCTATTCGTTCCGTCGTCTCGCAGAGGCGGTTGGCTTTGTGTGTAGATTTGGTTGAAATTGAGGATTTGTTGACTTGTCCGTTCATTGACATACTGAACGCCAACGCGTAGCAATATTTTTCCTGGAAACTCGAGATAGTTGTGCCAGGACGTGCTCGAGTCGTTATCACAAGCAGTTTCCGACTTTTGTGGATAGGGGAGAAGTTCGTTGCTTTGTGACTTGAGAACTTAGCTACGGATGGAAATTTGACACCACATATCAGCCGCTCATAACCGTATGGTGATGAACCAATGATAATGAGGAAATCATGAATAGAGCCATTTTCATATCAGTACTTAATGTATTAATGGCTGATACACCTTTATCTGAGGATTCGTTGCCAGTTTGGGTTTTTAAAGATGAAATGTTTATCCACATGAGGTTATGTGGAAATAAACGTGCAATGAATGCCAACGAGAGCTGGAAGTGCCGGCTGTAACAAAAGGACAATGGGCCGTTACACGACAACAAGGGAACGAATACTGAACGGAGCACAATGATGAAGCAAAAGCTCCATAAATGGTTATAAAGAAGCGAACCCTTAGCATTTTACCTGTAACATTGAAAATACTACGTGTTCAAAATCACTGCTATTCCTGGATGCATCCAAGAAATTTTTGCTTCTATAAAGTGTAAAGGCGTTTGATATCGATCATTCCCTTGTGAGTGAGTGCATCATACTTTGCACCTCCACTTGTAGTAGAGGTGAGTAACTGCATATTTAGTCCGCATACTACTCTCGAAAGGGCAGACTTCGACCAAGCTGAGCTCGGGATTCCAGGAAACCACAATGACTCAACCAGCAACTTTCCGAAAAATGGAGATTATGCTAAGGTCCGCACAACCAGTGAGGACGGGCCATTCAAGTACCAAGTAAGTATCAAGTACTCTCGAAAGCCCACTGATGCATCAAACCGATGTTTTTATCCTTCCAGACAAGCCTGCCACCACGTTGTCGATTTCAGAGTAATCGAGGTATTGCTTCGTCCGAGAAGCAAAATCGAACCAATGACAGTCTGCGTACTACGGGACCGTTTTAACCACCGTATTGCTTCACCCTTTTTTATTTCTATACAATGAAGAACGAGCGAACTTTAGGTAATCAGAAGGAAAGGCAGGTCAATACATTGAACAACCCCTAGTGTTATCGCTAGAGGAAGTTATAGCTCTCTAATCAGTCACCTGCGAAGTATTATTACGAAAAACTCAAACGGTTCTTAGATTGATCCTGCCCATGCATCGAATATAGCAGATAGGTGATTAGGATAAGGAGTCATTTGTACTCAATCAGTCACTTGACCGAAAGATCATGGTTTTCTGGAGAAATCAGAGAAATGAAAGAAGACGGCCTAAGGGCATTTCATGACATCTTGAAATTTCTGGTAGTTCGGTTATATTACACAGAACCGCTCTATATATCTAAAGAAGTGAATGCCAGATGTATAAAGGAGCCGGCCATATGGCAAGTCGGTGAAGAAAAAAAATCTGAATGGGATGGGCTTCGATTTTTTGATCGACATAATGGTTCAGCTTGCCTCTCATGACAACAAGGATAAGAATAATTTTTCATTTAATCATTTAATCTCTTCAATGACTGATAACTTAAACTAAACATCCAGAAAAAATTGGACGTTTTCTCCAAAAAACGTAAGTTGGGGAGCCGCACTACTCTTTCACTTCACCAAAGTCGGTGACGTTTACGCCATTCGAACGATTGTTCAGGACAAGGGAAAGAAAAAAGTGAGATCTGTGCTATCTGGAACTGCTTTCAGGCCAAGCATCTCAAACTCCTACACGCCTCTGCCGACTCTTTTTCATACCAGTAGTCCCTCAAATCTGCAAAGACAATTAGAGCAGAGCTTGGATCATCATGCTCGTCAACTAAGCAGCCATATCATAGCAAGCAGAGCCGATCTCGCCAACAGAACGCTTTTGTCGGTATGGGTTGAACAATGGTTGAATCTAAAATTGGAACGAAACGGCAACTAAAAAAAACGACGTAGGATAATGAATGCGTCGTTTTCTTGTTCAGCAATCACGAGGATGTTATACAGCATACATTTACTTCCATAGAAAAACACAATGCAATACAACAGTAGCTGACATTTCGGCAGTATCGCCTTCTTCAGAGCCTAGAAGTGTATACTGATGTACAATTTATTAGGCCAAACGATTCACTAACACGAAAAGGCGAAAGACTTTATGGCAATTACATGATCAACACGTTCTCGAGAAACACCACTTTTTTCCTGACTTCCAATGGGAAAGGCTAGAACAGCTCATTATAGTCGCATATGGTTGATGACTCCCACATCAGAAACTGATGCGAACATAGGGGTCAGGTCCATGTTGCCTTTTATAAGCGATGAAGTAAGCGTAGCTATTAAATGATGCTTAAGAAGGGCAGGTCTAGAGGAATCGGTAGCGATAGTTGAAATACCACCGGTTACTCTACGTCGTCATTTAGTTCGCAACCGCCTCTATGACCGTCTGTGTAAAACAACAAATTGCGTAATTTGCCCTTACGGCAAGGACGGTGATTGCATGAGTTCAGGTACGATATACCTGACCTTTTGTAATAATTGCGGAGATGAATATATTGGGAAAACGCGCAGAGCTTTGTGTATCCGTATAGAAGAACACCCAGATGGCAAACGGAAACTAAGACAAAGTACCCCACTAGGCACACATAGTAAACAAAAGCATAGCGGAGACGACTTTGAAGTAAAAGTCAATATCCTTGCACAGAAGACTAAAACATCAGCGTGAAAACTTCTTGAGCCTTTTTGGATAAATACCAAAAATCCTACAGTGAATAGCAGGGATGAATGCCCAGAAGTTACACGCGACCTGACCTCTATGTTCGCATCAGTTTCTGATGTGGGATGGTGCAGTCATCAACCATATGCGACTATAATGAGTTGTTTTAACCTTTCCCATTGGAAGTCAGAAAAAAAGTGGTGTTTATCGAGAACCTGTTGATTATGTAATTGCCATAAAGTCTTTCGTCTTTTCGTGTTAGTGAAGCGTTTGGCCTAATAAATTAAACACCAGCATTCCCTTCCAGGCTCTGAAGAAGGCGATTCTGCCGAAACGTCAGCTACTGTTGTATTGTGTTGTGTTTTTCTATGGAAGTAAATGTATGCTGTATAACAACCTCGCGATTGCTGAACAAGAAAACGACGCATTCATATTCCTATGCCGAGGTCAATAGAAAGTCGATACTGGGAACTGTTACAAGGACATGGGATAAAACGAAGGATTTGCCACTACGTATATTCCCTTCAGGAATGTACAGAATCTTCATGCATAGCATAGTAGTTCCTGCGAACACGTTAAATCTCCACCCATAAGCTTAGTAACAGTGAGGACATCGCTGAACAAACCCTACCTACTAAATCTGTTTCGGGTGGAACAGTGGTCATGATCAACGAAGAACACTTCTGAAGAGTCCTCATCTCTCGGCGAAGAGATTGGAAGCACCACTCTAGTAGAGGAAGTCTAATGTGAAATAACTCCAGTGTGCACCTTACCAGCTTCTCATATGTTTTATCAACAAACCTAATTGGAAACGAATAAAAATACTTCCATGAGTAATCCATTAACAAATTGAAAACGGAATGGGAAAGTGTAATATCTGATTAGAGACAAAAACGATCAGGAAGAGAACTTCGTCAGAAATGGGCCCATAAACAATTACGCTACATTGGAGATGCACCTTGAGGATTTCTAAAGCTAACATTACAGGATCGCAACATATGTAAATCATAGAGATAGGTAGGGTACATGAAGAATGCGAAAAAAATGGTTAACGAGTAGTGAACTTCAGCATGCCAAAACAAAATGGTAATACACAGAAAAAGACCAGTCTGCGTGGACAATTTTCCTCAATAATTAATTGGAGATGTAGACTACTTCGTACAAACTCCTTCGCAGACATCGCTTATGTCTTTACTGTGATTCCACAAATGTTTAGAATGCGTCCCATCACTGTCGTGCGTAATCCGAGCCTAGAAAATTTGAAAAATCGCCAATCTCTTAATCCACATTGGGTTCGAAAAAAAATAATGCGAGAAAGTTATTGGAATGAGAAATGACAGTACTAGGATACGTTAAGAAACCAAGAGGGGCAAATCAGACGGAGTAGAGAAGCAATGACGTACATTGAACACCTACGAAACGAAATCTCTTTGATTGGAATTAATGTGAAAGCGCTTTGAAGGCTAATGAAGCAGTGTTTCACATGTACAATCAGAAACTAGCAGTTGGATCAAAAGTAAACAAGAAACTAATCAGTAGTAAACAGTTATGGAAGACAAACACAAAGTTAGTCTTTCCAAGAAATCATGAAACCAGTATGATTGGAAAAAAAAACAAACTTCTCGGTTCCTATAAAAAAGGTTTTATAGTAGGATCACATCTCCTACAAAGCTGAAAACTGTCATAGGCGGTAGTGGGCTATATTGAACAAACATACTGCAGACTAAACAAAATTTCTACGATAAACATGATTCATTTCCAAACGTCTTTGGGAACATATGGCGCAAACGAATTCGCCCTGTAATTAATGGGCTTCGCAAATCACCCCATAAATAATCTCATTATCAAAAAAAAAATCGGTCCCAATAAAAAGAAGAAACGCCTTTGCAGCCTAAACCTACTATTTGCTTTTGCCAGGATCACAAAATTGTCTCCTTAACGGAATGAAAGCCCAAGAAAAACGTGGTAAGAACACTAGAAGCAGTAAGAGAGAAGAAGAGAGAGATGGAGAGATAGAAACGTCCTGTTTAAATAAATTCACATGGTTTCCATGAAACACTTACTTCTCAGCAGTCTGGGTGACTTTAGACATAAAATCACGAAGACGAATTGACGCATGGCATAGAATGAAGAACACAGGAAGTAGAATGCTTAGAAACAAAACGATATGAAGTAGAAAAGAAAACGAAACGACTAAACTCAAAAAACAAAAAATGGTGCTGGCAATGGATACCTGAATAGTACCGTAAGAACCGAGGGCAGTACTTGTATAAAAAAGTAACAGGCGAGGATTATCGCACCAAGTGTTATCAATGGATGATCACGGCGAGTCTGAACAACGGCACGACTAAGAATTCATACTCTGTTAAAGAAGTCGTTTCCATATATAACGAGAAAAGTTGCAAATTCCATTTCACTGGTGATAACCATATTGATTTATTGATTTACCGAGGAATTTAAAACGGTTATTGCTCTTATAACGAAATAATTGATTTGAGCAAAGCAACAGCTATTCTAGAAACAAATGTTAAATATTAACGTGGTCACTTCTTAACTGCCCATTCCTTTTTAATGGCAAGGTATGATGTTAAATACAACCACAATATTGCTGAGATATTTAGAAAACTCAGGACCGAAGGTGTCTGCGATTGGGACCGAACCTCGCTATTACACTTTTCGGAGGCTAACGAGTTCACCACACTACGAGTTCTTTCGTTTCGCCCTTCTTTCAGCTGTTTTTAAGTAAATGATGTTATTAAATGTTATGTTTGCTAATATCACTAAATGTTTAGCATTAATGGTGGCCTAAATCTCCTATGTTGGTGCTACATTCCATCAGCGTCGATACGGCACAATCACTTTGAAACAAGAAACGAAAACTTTTCCATGGACGTAAACCAATACTTTGTAATTTTGTCATGCAAAAGCAACACAGAAACTTTTAATGGTAAGTAAGACAGAGCCACAATTTTTCTTAAATGGAGACAAAACTGGGGATTAATCATGAGATAGAACGATTTTACCTCTTCCCTCCAAAGTTATAGGTTTTTTTAGTGGGCCAAATCCTAATATCACTCCAAAGATGAGATACGAAAATATAAAAAGTTAACTTTTTTTTAAACTGCTGCCTACTAGAACTTTTCACAACAGGTTTTATGTGAAATGCGGATAACTGCTAACAGATTGGTAGATAGAAAACTAGGTGAGAGACAGGCGAAACGAAGGACTTGCGTGGTGTGGTGGTGAACGCGTTAGCTTCTGGAAAGAGTACTAGCATATTCGCTACCCACAGCTGAGACCTGCGGTCCGGAGTTTTGCGAATACCTGAGCATCTTTATAGTTACAGAAAGTTAACCAAAAGAAATTAGGAAATTGGCATTCGAACATTCCTTATCATATTCGCCATATTTCATTAAAGTGAAGCAGGTCACCTGCTTTGCGTATAGCAATGGACAAAACAATGAAAAGAGTAACATTTCAGATAGTATACAATTTTGCAGATTTATACCTGATAAAATGATGGGTTATCCGAAATCGCAAAGACCACCACGCCCGCCACAACTAAAACAGCAGACAATCCTAGAGCCAAATCCTGGAATGCCATATTCTAAAGTTCCTTTATGAATGTCCTAATAAAAGAGCGATAAGAATATCCGTAAAACGACGTTTACCTGAGAGTTGAAGAAGCTTTGTATAATAAAGAGAAGAGCAAAGAAAGCAAAATAGTTTGTTTGGTAATAGAGGAGATTGGATATGATGCGATTATTCCATCGTTGTAAATCGTTGTAAGGGGGAAGCTGGAATTGAACATGAAAAATAAATGGTTAAGAAGACTTGTTCCAAAAAACCAAACTAAATGGAAAACCAGTCCAAAACAGATTGATTTTTGACCATTCAGGAACACCGTTCCCGCATACAACTATGTAGCACGCAAACGCACGCGCTCTTTCCTGCTTCAAAACAACACCTTCACCCGGCCTGGCGGTGAAGAAAAAATACTGGACAACGACAAACAATAGGGGAACGTTGCGGTGAATAGGAGACTTCTCTAATATGACATCGTTAATGTTGAAAAACAGATACTGAAGAATTAGAAAGTGTAACGGGGTAATAAAAGAGATCCTTGTAGCTGAGTGGGCTAGAGATGCCCTGCAAAACACTTTTGGTCAATCATATCTCTAACGAAAACCAAGCCTTTCATCCCTCTGGGTTTGGTAAACGGGTATTAGACTCCTACCTGGGAAGATAAAACAATGACTCGATATATCCGTAAGTCCGCTCAAGTCATCGCAGATGCTAGACGGGAATTCGTTAATCTACGATTCTACGAATACAGTCAAATGCACGGAACATCACTAAGGGATTTATCAGCACCGAAACGTTATAACCCTTTAATGCATGACGTTAACGTACGATTTAAATGAGAAACGAACCTCAAAGCGTGCCTTTCCGAGAATGAAATCGTTCACTGTACGAAACGGTGGCAACTCTACACCACTTCCAAAACGAAACGGCGTTTCTATCGGTGTTGCTGCGTTCTCCGACATACTGAAATCTTTCACTTTAAAATGCTTACTACTGTACCATGGTGGTAAAACACAGCAAGCACTTCTACAACTTCTATACAGAGGAAAGCGCATCGACCATGATTCGTTAGGAATCGAGACGGAACAATTTGAAGATAATGTCAACTTCTTATTGCCTATTACAACTGTTCACGGTAGAGTATTATGTGAGATAGAACCCCAATGATGCTGAGATAATGTTATACCTTTTTATTTTCTGCCTACTATAATCTCGTGGCAGGGTACTAAGCGAAATACAACCAAGGACAATAGCGCGTTCGTTCCCCACCATAGACACCTGCGGTCCAGAGTTTTGCAAATATCTCAGCAACGTTGTGATGCTGAGATATTTGCAAAACTCCGGACCGCATGTTTCTGCGATTGGGATCGAACACGCTATAACCCTTTCCGAGAGCTAACGCGTTCATCACCACACCATGCGGGTTTTCGTTCCGCTTTTCGTCCAGCTAGTTTTATTTGAAGACACTCTAATATCAGACAACTAATGCACCTATAGGTAGAAGAATCGAAGAAATTCTGTAAACAACGGCTGGATCTTTAAGATACAAAACTCATTTATACTTAATTAGGGATTAATGGAGAATATACGTGAAAGATGGGATGTATACATAAATCAAGCGTTCGCAATTCTCATCACTTCCCCGTAAAGGAAAAAAGCTCATAAAGAAAATGCCTGTGCCTGAAGATATACTATGGGACATAAAGAATGGTATGTTTCCGTTGTTGTTTTAACAGCCAATTTTCATGCTTCAGATGAACTACACCGAAAAGATCTTGTGATTATCTGGAGAAATAAGGTAAAGGATAAAGCTCTCGGCGTTGGTCTATATCTGATGGATGCCCCATGCATTGGACTCCATTTGTAGCAACGTTGGAGATGAATGAATGCATCTGGCTTTCACAACGACTCGCGGTAGCCTGTCGATGTATCGAGCCAGTGCTACTACCCTTCCAGATAAATCTGGTACCAATTTGCCGACCCCGGAAGGATGGAAAACTTGATGAGCTTGAGACGCGGCAATCGATCTCGTGTGTACTGCAGGGCATCTCCGATCACTGCGCTACAAGCTCCAGGACAGATAACCTTTGGAAACGGTTGCACAGCAAATAATTCTCAACACATTTTAAGGTATTTTGTGCTTACTAGCAAAAATATAAGAGTAAGTGAACTGTCACTACTGTTAAACTCTGGCCTTTCTATTGATTTGGACACAAATATTACACACTGAAGATGGCGACTTTCGATGGACGGACGGCCGAACACTCATTGCAATTCAAACTGAAGAACGATCAACATCAGGAACATCAGTTTAACGGCACAAGAAAAACAATCGAAGATATAAAACTGATTAGAAGCACTATTTGTAAGAAACATGTACTTCTCTAGACGATGAGGGCTTGTACTGTTAAACTCTCGACACTTCCACTCCTATCACTTCAAACCTTCCTGTCTAAAACATTTCAAACAGGAAGTTGGTTCTGGCTTCGATACGAAATACTCTGGAGGAAAAACTAATAGCTTTCGTAGTTCGAAGCCTTCAAACCGATCAAAGTAGATACTCTGAGAGGTACTCTCCATAGTGTCCATGAACAGTCTGACAGTTATCCGAGAGCAAACGGCTATTTCCAGAGTACACATGACACTTCCACAGTTGACAAACTAATAAAATTGTGCAGAATCTTTGTTAGTGATGACAAAATTCCAGGAAGCAGCCGATTCTCTGGAGAAGAGGGACGATCAAGAAACGATAGCGGAACAGAGACAGCAAGGAATGCGATCCAGAATCCAGAGAAAGTCCCACACCAAAGTTACGTTGGCCATTTCTCAAGACTATCAGAAAAATAGTCATAAAGCAGAAATCGACAGCCGCCCAGCAAAATGAGACCTTCACAGACTCTCTTCCATGTGGAATCAATAGATGTGCGGTGGAAGATTGTTCAATCGACCAGTTCCTGTGGAATGAATGAATGATAATATCTCTAGAATCAGTTCAAAAGCCATTTACATAGAAGACGAAGTTAATAAATTGGTTAAAAAAACCAAACTAAAAGTTAAAAGGATAAAGCTCTTGACGTTGATCAATCCCTTAGGGATGCACCATGCATTCGACTCCATTCGTAGCATCGCTGGAGATGACTGAATATATATCTGGCTTTCACAATCACTCGCGGCGGCCTACCGATGTCTATCGAGCCAGTGCTACTACCCTTCCAGACAAGTCTAATATCAATCTGCCGACTCTAGAGGGTGGAGGGCTTGGTGGCCCACGGGTGCGAGGATCGGTCCCAAGTGTATTGTAGGGTGTCTCCAACCACTGCACCACAAACACCCTTACCCCCAGCCCTTAAATAGTAGTTAATAGGCAATAATAAGTTAAGGATAATTGTCAAGATGTTTTACGTCGCTAACAATGGCAATCGCTTCTAGTCATCATTGCGTAGTAATGGATGCCATAGTGGGCAGATCCATTAGTAGAAGTTAAAACTGCACTGTGGCAATGGAAAACAAAACTTTATGGGGAGTGAATAGAGTTGAAGGAGTTGAACTTTATGGGAGTTGAATAGAAATGTATGAGAAGTAAAGGAAACCTAAGATGGAACCTATGGAAGGCAGGACACAGCAAAAGTAACGGAATAACCGCTTCGTATCCTGTACTATACCTTAGTAAAATCGACAAGAGATGAACGTAAGAGCTGAATTATGGCTAGTACGAGCAAGTGGACGAACGACATGACTAAGAAAGATGTTCAATCGTTTCTTCATCAACGTAACTTGAAACTTAAGGACGCTATTGATATAAATTAAGACTTAAGCACGCTACTGATATAACTTGAGACCTAAGGACGATACTAACATAATTTGAGACTTAAGGACGCTGTAAGGAACCACTTCTAACCAATAATCTGGCATAACATGTCCAAGTTAGGCAGAATGAGTCGGAGAATGAACGGAACTACTTAACAAGCAGCGAATTGTGTAGGAAATAAAATGGATGAGTGATACCGGAGCGGGTTACGAAATTCGTCCACCACGTTGTTTGAATTTAGGCGTCGATTTCACTGTAATTGAGCGCAGTACGGCAGCAGCGCTTTAATTGACGACGAAGAGTGTTGCACTTAACTGATCGGACAACTTTACAATACTAGTTGACGTTTCTGATAGATTTGGTAAGTTTAACAGGATAGATAGCGCGATGTCCTGTCTAGATCTACCTACTTGAATACTTCGATGGTCCATCTTCGCTGAGTGTGCGAGCCCCTTTCCATTTCTTCGGAGATTTGCTAGTTTAGCCATTGTGACCTCTTGAAGTCCAAAGGTCAACCAAGCCAAAGTCTCCCCTAAGTCGCAGCTACCACAGGCAGTCGCCGCCCTTGTGGATCAGAGGTTTGCCAGCATTGGTTTACTCTCAGCTGTGGTCCCTGGTGGAAACGCCGGACTCCTCATCTTAAGATCGCTGGGGGTTCGTTCCTCCCGCTGTATATCACAGCCCAATACCCTGGGACACCTCCCAGCCACAATGAGGCGGTAAACCGTTGGGAGTTCTAAAATTCAGTGGTTTGAAAGAAAAAGGAAAGAAATTCATAAGGAATGGGCCAGAGCTCTCACATTTGTGCGCGGTTCCTATGATTCAATAACGTATTACTACGTTATAACTCCCTGTTGCTTCCTATGGAATGGAATATTGTAAGCTCTTTTAACTGTTGGATGAGGGTAAAAACACACACGAAGGCCGAACATATCTAACTTTCGCTGCAAAACACGGTCGAGTTATTGATTGAGTTCTATTGATCGGTCGGTCGGCAGTCCAATCTATCCAGCTATCCAGTGTAAGCAACATTAACTTATTTCTCCAAATATTTGACTTCTACCCAATTTATTTACACAGCAGCGAGCAAATAATGGTGCACTTTTTTTGTTCGCAAATTTCACGATAATAGGATTTCTGGATAGCCGATTACTTGTTGTAATGCAGCACACCTGAATTTCCAAGCAATCATTCAATGTCCGATCATCTGGTTCGAATGTCGAATGAACAGCGTAAAACTAGACTTTATTTATTTTACGTGGCTCGGGACCACATCTTGTATACCAGAACTTCATTTGATTCGTCTCCCCAGATCCATCATCCACGAAGTTTTCGGTATTCCTGGGATCCCTTTCTGAATACCGTCGAATCCTTATTTAGTTGATTCTACTTGAAATCCTAGGGTAGCCGTGGTCTAGCGCTCACCGATCCTCACCACAGTCGTCACCAGCCTTTATGTGTCGGAGCGAACTTCCCATATGACTCTGGTACCACTTCTCTGAGCCCCAGAGTGATGGCAGGCTTGATTTGCCTCGTTCGGCATTGAACCAGGAACCGTACGAGCATTATTGCACGGCATCTCTTAGCCGGGTCCGTAAAAACTATAGAATTCACTGTGATTTAAAATGGTGACTTTGTTAGGTGACTTCCTCTGTACACAACTTTCCTGCAAAATGTTCGTCTTTCAGTGCCTACGGTAATGAAATGACTTCAGTTCCCAGGATCGACTCTCTCTTAACCTCGGCATTGGAATATGAATGCGTCGTTTTCTTGTTCAGTAATCGCGAGGTTTTTAAACAGCATACATTTACTTCCATGGAAAAACACAATACAATAGAACAGTAGCTGACGTTTCGGCAGTATCGCCTTCTTCAGAGCCTGGAAGGGTATACTGATATACAATCTACTAGACCAAACGCTTCAATAACACTTACACAAAGACGAAAAACTCTTTGGTAATTACACGATCATCAGCTTCTCGAAAAACCCACCACTTTTTCGTGACTTCCAATGAGGAAGTTTAGAACAGCTGATTATAGTCGCGTATTGTTGATGAAAGCAGATGCAGTTATATATTAAGCCCCATAGATAAGAAACGGAAAAGAATAATATTGAGAGCTAAAACAATGCTCTTAATTATTCCGGGAATGTGTTAGTTGTTTTTATAAATAAGTTAAGTTAAGTTAATTAATAATAATGACAATAATAAGAATGATGATAGTAATGACGCCGATTTGTGCTCTCCAGATCAATCTTGTTTACGGGTGGTTGATGATAGCTCCTATAAGTCAATAACACGACTGGGAGAATGGCGAAACTAATTCTCACATGGTGTAATGGTGAACGCGCTAGCCGTCGAGAAGGGTGATAGCATGTTCGGTCTCCACCGCAGTCACCAGCGGTCTGGGGCTTTGCAAATATTTCAGCACCATTATGGTTATATTCCACATCATACCCTGCCATTGAAAAAGAGCAGGCAGTAAATAGAAAGTGACGTAATTGTCTCACAAATATGATCAATTTTATAATTCAATTAACCGAGTGGATGTGCAAGAAATAAGCCTTTCATTAATATATGAAAGTGCAGAATTCAAAAAAAGAAAATAGCTAAAACACATACAAAAGCACAATAAAGTGGTAAATTGCGTATGAATTTCTGCGCAATCAAGTACTTTCATGCTTTCAGACCTCTGTCATATGTGAGTCTTATATGCGTCATATTAAGAAGAATCGGTTTAGGTTCACGTAAAGTTCATGCAACAATTTTTATTTTTGCAATTGAGACTTTGCTAATTTTGCGATATTAGAGTACATTATGTAATGGTCATCGGGAGAGATGTAGAATTATCAGTGCCACTGAAAACATCTCCTCTATTCGTCTTCGATTTCTCTTTTGACTTTGAGGAGAATTTTCATTAAAACTCCGTTTATATGCAATGCTTATTTGTGTACAATAAGTGTAAACATATGCATGTGTATATGCGTGCATATATATACATATATATGTATACACACACATACTTGGATGTATACGCGCATACACATGTATGTACGTCCATCTCTATATCAGTGTTGGTGCCCATGGTAACGTGTCATCGTTATAATTTGTTATGGTCTTCATAACATTATCGTCGTTTTATTAAAGAATATGACTTTAAATGCTTATTTTTGTAGGGAGTGAAAGAGAGAGAGAGAGGGAGAGAGAGAGAGAGAGGCGCATATTATGAACGCAAACTCTAAGCTTTTATGTTTCTCCTCATAAATTACTGTTAATTGAATAAAAGCCTTCATTACCTATGGTTATCTATATGCACTTCAAGCCTATTCATTATTGTAAAATTCCTGTGAATATCCCCAGGTTTATATGGATTCATCAGAAAATGTACGCTTTATCGCCTTTACTATAGTATTTACACAGATGACCTATTGTGCTCACAGAATGCTGTGACTATCACCAGTTCACAACACAGTAGTTCGTTCATTTGTTTCATTGCCTACCATCCATTGAAGATCTTCGGATTTGTGTCTGAGATAGGCGGGCCGGGCACTTAAGAATGTGCTCTTCCTCATGGATGTCATTGAGTGCTGGTCGACTTCGTCCTAAGATAACTCTACGAGAGCGTTCTCAAGTCTTCATCACAAGTGGTAGCCGGATTTTTCCGAAGGAACGAGCTTTCATCCGACAATTCTGATAGCAATTTGTCAACCCTGGTAGAATGGGAGACCCGATTGTTGAGGGATGAGGTCGAACCAACTTGTGTAGAGCGCACGTTGTATGACATCACTAACCATTGCTCTTCCTGAAAACATTTGCCCTCCAATAAAATTCATATTCGCCTGATATTCTGCATATCGGGTTGGTTTTTTTTTTGTTCGGCATGGAAACCTGATGCGATAGCCATGGGCCTGAGATAGCTGCTCTTTAAGTCTCCTCAGGATAGATTTTCGTGCTGAGGACGAGGTTTCTTCTACTACGGCAGTGAATCCCCACTAATTGTCGATAAACAGCTAGCAAGTTTCCGTAATATTTTATGACGAAATCCTTCTAGAATATTCATAATTTTGTTCCAATGCTTTAGGTTAAATCGCAAAAGGAAATAAATCTCAGCTGCTGACTACCACGAAAACCTCAGGAAAAAGTGCTCATTATCGATTTTTCTGGGGTTTTTTTTACATTTCGTTTAATGTGGTTACTTTATGTTGTAGTTTCAGAACATTTCACAGCCATCTTATTCATGTGAATGAGCGAAAATTGTAATAACTGAGTGAATACAATGAAATGAGCGCTTCGTCTCTACTACTGCATGGGAAACGTTACTTCCTGGGAGAATCTGAAATACACGAGAAAAAAGACAATCATTGGTCGAGGCCAGGACTGTTTGACGATGTATGGCTTCATTTCACATAGCACTGAAACATAAGGATAAATTTTACAAAATGTGATGTCGCTTTCACACAGGAGAGTACGTTTCTTAAATCCGTTGCCGTTGTTCGCTGTCATAATTAGTTTGAATTCAATGTCGAGCTTGACAATTCTATTAATTAGCTAATGGTAGAAGCTCCATAGTTTTTCAATCGTGGACGGAGCTCCTACTCTTCAATTTATAATGCCATCGTTGATTCCGCATCTTCCGGCTTCCTTAACTTTTTTTCGTTTCTGATACTCACCTCTCTCAATGATGCCTACCTCGTCGTCCTTCATGAAGACTGCCTGCTTTTTGTTATAGGACTAGATTCCTCTCAATCTTAGCTAAACGACTATGTTTCAGGATCAATTGGTGCTCACCTGCGATGGGATGTGCTCCATCCGGACCACAGCAGCACAATCAAGCCCTTGACGAACGTTTCGCAAGTCCAGCACCGCTTATGGTAAAAATCGATACTGGAGTGCGTCGTGGTGACAGTTTTCAGCAACATATTATCTTCATTTTTGGTAAGATCGATAACACTTTTATGCTTGTTGCAAAAAATAATCACTATTTATGTAGTCTTTGTAATAGACTGGCATCTGTTGATATTTCCATAATGGTCAACACACCAAGTATGAAGTGCTTAGTGACAGCAGAAACAAGGAAATAGCAAAAACTGCTGTCGGAAATTAATATCTTCACAGTGCACAGCCGCCGTTCTCCTTCTAGATAAACGGAAGACGTAAATATGTGTGTCGTTGGTAAGTACGTGTATTCTTAGTACGCTCATAACGTATTCATCGCTACTATGAGATTACATGAAGGGCATATCACTCGACAATTGTACACAGGATCATCATAGGATTATTGCGGATTTTCATCTGGCATTAGAGCGCAGTGGTTAGTGACACAGTCTATCAGGAGGCAAGATTCTGGTTCAATACCAACCTTAACGCACTGCTATCCGTGTGGTAACGTTCGAGCTCTGATATGTACAAGATTGCAAGGAGAATCAACTCGATCAGCATTTTACGATATTCAGAAAGAAGACGAAATTCTGAAGCAGCAGATGAAATAGCCCGCGAAATGTTGTAAGATATTCGTGCACGACGAATGCAAGGAAAAAGAATCGAATGGAAAAGATGGGATCCGTACAGTAGATGTGAGGACGGGTCATGCAGTGTTTAAGAAAGGACAGCACTGATTTCAACATCTGTTGGTGGGTAGCGAAGCACTATAAACGGATCATTCAACGTTGTCTTCTTGTAGCTGTTCTTCACGACCCATGACGTGATCGTCTGTTGTATATCTTCATATTTGATCTATATTTCACTAAATACGAAGACGTTAATGTTCTAATCATCCGCTAGCGTATCATTTAAACTTAGGTGACAACATGTCCTTGATTACAGGAAGACTAGTAGTCCTTCCTTCGACGTTATAAATAGCATTATCTCAATGAAATCGAAATCCGCTTAGTTCTGATGCAAATGGCGAATATCCGGATTCTCGCATAAATGCCAAGAGGCATCGACAATATTTATATTACCGTAGTAATAAAATCATTCACTTAGTAAAAACATTGTCTTGCTCGATGAAACCGAGGTCTTAAAATGGAAGTTTAGCTGAAATAAACAAGTGCAGCGCTTTTTTTGAGTGAAGAACTCTCTAACTACTAAGCACGTCTCATGACGCCTCGTTCGATTCTACGGATCTTTTATCGGATTCTACGGATTTGATTTAGTTATCTGCGCTTAGCAAAATCATTTTCTTCAGTCTTTTCCTTCTGTTCTTTTTAATAGATGGTCTTTATCGAGGCAGATGTTGGTTATTTTGTTCTAGACTCGGTGACATATTTACGAAATCTTTCTATTTTTAGGTGGGCCGGGGTCGCAGAAGGGCTTAGTGATCGAAGAGCTGATTCATCGTTTCGGTTTCATTTCGATCACTGTCGAAGAAATTATCTTCAATTGCCTGCCGAACAAAGTCTCTAATAGTGTCGAAACGGCTGCAGATATTCAGCAAATGCTCAAGGTTAGCAGCAAGAGAATGTTCAGCATGCGCTATCGATCGATCGCACGCTATTATGCGGTATACCAGGGATATCGTTAGCGCGCGCTATACTGTCGCATTCGTATTGTGAGGAGATTTAATGTTTTTGACGTGGTTGTTCATCAGAGATTGTTTGAGAAAGTTGGATCATTATTAGAAATTAGAAGTGAGGAGATTACTTCAGAATGACACGGGTACGCTGTCAATGGATTGGATCTTTTCAATGATCAGCGCTAAATTAGGCACATCAATACATCAACGATTTGTTGTTGGTTTGTTTTCATATGTAAAATAATCATAAATATTATTAAACAAGCAATAACAGCACCAATGAATGAGCATGTCTACCTTTCTATTTTCTTCCAATGCTTAAAATTCTCATGTAATTTTATACGGAAAGATTTGGGTTCTACAAATTACATAAGTGAAACGAGAGGTTTAACAATAAAAAACGCATGTTTTCTTTTATAATTTTGAAAATCAATAGATGGACATGCTTAAGTGACAAAGGTAGAAATGATGAAGACATGAAAAAAAGGAAGAGGAAAAAGAGAAGGGGAAGATTTTCTCATGGCATCCTTAACATCTTTGCTTCTTTCTTATTTGTTTTTTTTACATCTTCTCCTAAAATTTTCCTGTGTTTTGAACTGAACGCTTCTCATACTTATTAACGAAGCTGTGTTTTTCCTGTCGTGTTCTTCCTTATTCTCTTTAGCATACGAGCGAGGGCTCCTTAATGAATGGCAAGAATTTTTCCACTTTGTTTATTTTAAAATGAGAACTGCGCAAAAAAAACCAGAAAAAATCTAGAATCGTCTCTTATAAATATTTAGCTTTTTTTCTAAAAATTAACATTACAGATATTGTGCCGTCAATAAGTTCTATATCGAAGGCGGATAGTTTTTGTGATTCGAACCATGAGAGGTGTCTGGAGAATTTCGAGCAACGGGTGAGTGAAGCCACTTAACGGCTGAGAATGCAGAGCTCTTTGTGAAAAAAATAGGATAGTGAATTAATTGAACTAGCCAAATTAATAAAATAAACTGAAACACAGGCAAATTGTTATTATACAGACAGATCCGAAAACAGACAGACAGGCAAACGAACAAGCAGAAGGACCGGGGCTGGACACAAACATCCAAGCACATATATATATATATACATACATATGCATCTATATACGCACATATACACATGCACACATACACACACACGCACACACACACACACACGTAGATACACACACGCATGCATGTACGAATATATGGAATCGTAGAAGACAGTTCGTCCCAACAACACCAGGAATTCTTTCCTTGAATCCTATGCCTCAAAACAAACAGAAAGTCACCTTCAAACTTGCTTATATTCACTACATTGTTACGAGTCGTTTTTCCTTGTCATTAACTTAGAGCTCAAGGTATCTCACATGACAGAAATTCTTGGAATCTCTAGGACCTGAATTATCCGAGTGGAACGCAAAAGTATGGATTTTTTGGCGAAATGTAGCCATTTTAGCCTTAAAGCACCATCGTCATCTGTAGAGTCGTTGATTTGATGACCATTAAAGGAAAAAAAAATTATCCGAAAAAAAGCAATTGCAAGGTATGGTAGTAGTATTCAGTATCCGGTGATGTTCGCCTTGGTGTTGGAGGTCTCGGATGAGGTCGTTCTTAAGGAAAAAAACACCAGTGGTGCTAAAGAACAGAATGGCACGAAGAAGAACGGTGCTCATAACAATCAGACTGAAAAGGATATCGATCGGGGCGACCGAGGAAAGCTAGAGGTCGGTGAGGATTTTCTCGATATGCGTTCTAGATGTGCTTTTTCATTCGTTAGCTTACCCGAAGCAAAACGTGCCAGCTCTACTTTTTAGAAAAACCATATAAAATAAATATGAGGTAATAGCTATATCACACCCCCTTGGAAAATAATGAGATTTGTAACTGCCACGACCGACTTTCTATTAACCTTGGCATTGATCAAGTGATTTTGTTCGTATTTTTTTTGAGCAAACGCGAGGTGTTATTGTTCTTTGTTCACGATTAAGCTGACGTTTCGGCGAATTTCACCTTCTTCAGAGCCTGGAAAGGTCAAGTTGATAGCAACTCACTCGGCCAGACGCCTCCATAACCAAACGAAGAAACCCCAAACCAAGATTTCAATCACTTTGAACACAGCTTTGCACACTCACCGCTTTCTATGAGGTNTCCACTAAGTATGTCACGTAGAGACCAACCGCACAGAAATCACGTGGAAGTATAATGTGCCCCTCACATCAGAAAAGCAGTTTTATATACTGCGCTATATCACGCGTGATAATGAGGCATTCTTCCCTGCGGTTCATTTTCGGATTTCTGGAATTAATCCAGAGTGCCTCGAGGGTTTTTCGCGCGTGTGTTCTCGATTCGCGTGCGAGGATCAAATGAGATTTGTGATTGTTTGAGGCTTAATTTTTTTTTAAGCAAAGTTGTATATTTATGTATTCTTACTTACTTGATACTTGAACGGCTCGTCATCTCTAGTTGTGGGGGCCCTGGCATAATTTACGTTTTTCGGAGCTTTGCTGGTTAAGCCATTGTGGTTCACTAGAATCCTGAGGTTAGCTGGGCCAAAGTCTGCCCCAGATCGTCACCACGACAGGCAGTCGCAACTCTTGTGGATAAGAGGGAGATTTACCACCATGCGACTTTGATACGAAGACGGTGGTGGATCTTGGTATTGGTTTACTCTTAGCTAGGCTTCCTGATGGAAACGTCGGACTTCTCAATTCTTCTTGGGAGACCCTGCCTGGGGACGAAGCTCCCCGTTGTACATCGCAGTCCGACAGCCAGGAACACCTACCAGCCACGATGAGGTGGTAAACCGTTGGGAAGATCTATGATTCCTACTATCTTTAATAAGTAATATTGCTTGTAGCTGCAATAAACTTTGACTCTTTTCCTCTGTAATAAAGTTTTATGGTTCTATGTTTATAGCATCTACTACTTTAATACCTCGCTAATCAGGTGAGTTATATAAGGCTTATTGGAAAAAATGCCGATTTAGATTATTAGGTCTAAGCAAGCTCATTTCAGTTCGCAGCGAATTTTATTAGTTACGATGAAAATAGTAATGTCTTTGCCAATCGAATTTCCCGCAGCCCAAAAACAACGTTTTATGCGGTTTTCTTTTGAGGGTCATAGAAACGGCGAAACTGTGGAATAACAAACTGGAATTTTTTTGTCAACTTCTCATCTGATGGGGTATTTTCAGTAATAACTCCATAACCATTGACGTTCAAGTAGTAACTCAACAGGTATTGATATCAAATGACATGTTACCAAAATATCAGTAGTTGCCGAAGAGTCCCCAGGAAAGTTGTCTGGTAACAGGGCGCGGCCGGTGTAGATGGAGGAGGTGCCCTGCATCACACATAGAATCGATCCCAGTGACCATGGCCCATCTAGCCCTCCATCCCTCCGGGTTTCGCAGATCGGTACTACACTTGTATGGGAGGATAGCAGCACTCGCTCGGTATATCGTTACATCGATAGTACATTGCGAATCATTGTGAAAGCCGGATATGCTGCATTCAGTCACCTCCAAACGGTACTTAATGAAGTAGAATGCATGGCGCATCCCTCAGGATTGCTCAACGCTGAGATTCTTATTCTTGTTTATTCTTTTGTCTGGTAACACTAGGAATTGTTTAACAGTGAAGGATATAGGCCTCGAATTTGATAAAAGAAAACTCGCTTATGCTTCAGTGATAAATTTTTAGACTACAAAAAAATATTTGTAACAATAGAAGTGAAGTGAATAGTGGTAATGTTATTTGTATAATAAATAAAGAAATGACAATATTACATAGATAAACACCTGGATGGCCAGTCTATAGGGTCTTCATGAACAATTGGGTAACACCTCCACATAATTCCCGTTTAAGCGATGATTTGCTTGGCGAGGACCATTTTCTTCCACCGTAGTCTCGAAAGTCATGCTAAAGCGTTCCCAAGTCATCACCATTTACCGTCTCGTTAGTGTACTATAGTCAACATCGCTGTAATCGCTCGTGCGAGTTTCCTGTTCTTGTTGAGATTCCAGGTGGTGACGTTGGACACTCTCTGTATTAGATTGGAAAACCGTGCTACGGGAATGAATCTTACAGCACTAAATCGCAGCTCGGCACACTAGAACGGTGGGACAGTTAATATTCTAGGAATTCTAGGATGCGATTTCTTTTCTATCCATCTGGATGACATTTTGCAAATTCAAGAGATATTGCGTCAATATTTGCAAGTCTATTTTTTTAGGATTTCTTGCTTATTTAACTTCTTTCTCTGGCCTTCGTTCCCTCGAAGACAACTCTATCAAGTTAAATTAGCGTTTATTGATTCTTTACGTAAATTTTTCGTTTCGTCAACGTATTTAAAGCTATCGGCTGATTACCAATAAACCTATTAAACCTAGAAAACTCATTTTCTACATGAGTTTAGAAACTGCTGTCGTTCTAACCACTATATCCGCTAATAATTCTGACGAGAATATCACTGCTAAATCTCCGGGTCATCGCATGACGGTGTCGCCGACATCGTGGTAAAAGCTTCCTCACAGGATTTTCGCTCTTATAAGCTTAGAATCTTATATATGGCGAATGTGAATAGAAAATTAAGTGCCTTTTTCTTTGAAAGGTAGAAAAATAAACGTTCGGCGTTCATTAATGACTAGGAGGCGCACTATGCATTTGAATCCATTCGTAGTCGTAGGGATGAATAAATGCATATTTTACCTAAATAGTGGCTTTCGATGGCTTAGCGATATATCATGTCAGTGTTTTTGTCTTCGAAGACAACTCTGTTACCAACTCGTCGACCTCGGAGGGCTTGATGGCTTGGTTTGGTTGTGCGCAGAATCGAACCTATGACTGCCTACGTGTTTCTTGCAAGGCACCTTCATCCACTGCTTCTTTCGGACTCTTTTCATGATAACAAAGTGTATTTTCTGTTCTTGTAAGGTATTGTAGGACACTACTGCAAGAGTTTGAAGTGGTTTTTGTTTCAGAAACGTCTATATTTACATCATCTCTGCTCACGTCCATTCATTCGTTACTTTTCGAAAACACGGCGAGTTATTCGTGTTTCCGTTCCCGAAGCTGCAACGAACGTCGTGTCAACGGTGTCGTCGATCCTACTCAACTATGGTTTCACTGAACAACAACAACCAAGACGAGTTATCCTGTTCGGAACTGGTAAGCCATTCTATTCAACTGAAAGATGAACTGTTACTGACTTGTACACTTCAATAGGCCATTTTCTTCACAAAAAATCTCGAGCAATCAAGAACATTCCTTATCTGATTAGGGAAATAGCTCGCGGTTTCGTGAAGATTTTGCTTTTGTGGTGTTGCAAGAAGGACTAGTTCACTAAATAAAAGAGACATATGGCTGTAATTAGTGGAAATTATAGGCTATCACCGTATTCGGACATATTGCTGAATTTGTTAAGACATTAGGTTATGATATTTCCTCATTGTAGTGACATTTGCAAAATCTGACAGAGAAGGAAGTAGATTAGTCCTTTATGTTGTGCCGACGTGATCGCTAGTAATTGAGCAATCCTTGAGAAAGGGTATTCTGCTAAATGTCATATTCCTTTGGGATTTTCACATGAATGTCAACTGAGTTCGGATTTCTGGCTTCTTCTGGTATCAGTAGAGCTGTTTGGCTCATTCGCTCAACGAGTTTTCAATTTGGGGTGCATGTCGGATGTTCTATGCATTTAAAACATACAACTTTTAAAAATAACCCTTCGATGTCAAGTAATGCTAAATGTTAAACTGCAAGCAATCGTCGGTCGGAATCAATAGTTGATATCAAATTCACTTCATTTCCGTGTTATTACATCACCCACTTCAACCCACTTCTATTTTGAGCATTTTAAGTAGTTGTTGATATTTATATTTTTTCTAAAATTCTTATTTAGAGCTGTAGCGCAATGGGTCGTAGCGCCTGTCATGAACACATTATTGTTAGCTCGACCACCACCACTCTAGACAAACAACTAACCTTTCTAATAGTGGATTTCATTAAATGGTAACAAATTCATTGGCAACGGTAAAAAACTGTTTTGTCCATTGCTCCGCTGATTACCCAAATCACTCCGTAAATTCGAATTTTCCGTGCTTAAACCTACATCTAAGCTAAATTCATAGTTCACTTGCTTAAAGACGAAATATTAGTCATTGTATGAACCCTTTTTCCTTCCTTAATTGCATCTACTCTTCCTCCTTTGTTATTGCATCGAGTCTCTGCTGCTTAAAAGCTCTATACTTTTCCTTCTGAAGTTAGGACGAAATATGGGCTTTATTTATTTTCATTTACAACTCAGATTCACATTTACTGTGGGAACCGCAGCGATTCTCGGATTTGGTTTGATTCCTCTCATCCATCATCCATGAAGGTCTTCGAATTTCTCGCGCGCGGATTCAGATGTTAGTTGAGGATTTTTGTCTTCCTTATGTTGTTGAATGCTGGTCGAGTGGGGTTTTCCAGGAGTCCTGGAAGAGCTAGGCTAGATCGTTCCCACTTGGACTGAGAAGAATGAAATATTTGCCGACAAATCTGGCATCAATTTCCCGATCCCAGAAGGAGCAAAGTGTTGGTGAGCCTGGTGTGGATTCAAGCCAGCACCAGTGGTCACGACGATCGGCATCACTACCGCTGCGCGGCCCGCACCTTAATGAGAACTTTGTTGTTCGTTTGCCCTAACGATAACATGAAATGCTCAAATTCCATATTATCTTCATTAGTTATCATATTCGTATATGACGGTAGGATTGAAAACAAATAATATTTCTGCCACGACCGACTTTCTATTAACCTCGGCATTGATCAAG